GGCAAACCCAAACATGTAGTGAGGGTGAATTGGGAACGTCTGGCGGAGGACCCTGTCCGGGAGGTCTTTAACTCCCACCTCCGGAAGAACTTCTCACACATCCCGAGGGAGGTTGGGGACACGGAATCCGAGTGGACCATGTTCAAAGCCTCTATTGTGGACGCGGCCGCTAGGAGCTGTGGCCGGAAGGTCATCGGTGCCTGTCGTGGTGGCAACCCGAGAACCCGGTGGTGGACACCGGAGGTGAGGGAAGCCGTCAAGCTGAAGAAGGAGACCTTCAAGGCCTGGTTGGCCCAGGGGTCTCCTGAAGCAGCTGACAGGTACCGGCAGGCCAGAAGGGCTGCAGCGGCGGTGGTCGCGAATGCTAAAACTCGGGCATGGGAGGAGTTCGGGGAGGCCATGGAGAAGGACTTTCGGTTGGCCTCAAGGAGGTTCTGGCAAACCATCCGACGGCTCAGGAAGGGAAAGCAGGGCTTACCCCAGGCTGTTCTCAGCAGGGGGGGGGAACTGCTAACCCGGACGGAGGACATCGTCGGGCGGTGGAAAGAGCACTTTGAGGAACTCCTAAACCCGACCAACATGTCCTCTGCAGAGGAGGCAGCGCCTGAGGACCTAGGGGGAGGCTCACTCATATCCCTGGCAGAGGTCGCCGAGGTAGTCAAAAAGCTCCTTGGTGGCAAGGCGCCGGGGGTGGATGAGATCCGCCCTGAGATGCTGAAGGCGCTGGACATGGTTGGGCTGTCCTGGCTGACACGCCTCTTCAATGTCGCATGGGGGTCGGGATCAGTGCCCATGGAATGGCAGACCGGGGTGGTGGTTCCCATCTTCAAAAAGGGGGACCGGAGAGTGTGCTCGAATTACCGGGGTATCACACTACTCAGCCTCCCGGGGAAGGCTTATGCCAGGGTGCTGGAAAGGAGGCTCCGACCGCTTGTCGAACCTCAGATTCAAGAGGAGCAGTGCGGATTCCGTCCCGGCCGTGGAACAGTGGACCAGCTCTTTACCCTCGCAAGACTACTGGAGGGGTTCTGGGAGTTTGCCCAACCAGTCTACATGTGCTTTGTGGACTTGGAGAAGGCTTTCGACCGGGTCCCTCGGGGGGTCTTGTGGGGGGTGCTGCGGGAGTATGGGGTGCCGGACCCGTTACAACGGGCGATCCGGTCTCTGTACGGCTGCAGTAGGAGCTGTGTCCGCATTCTCGG